CTTTGGTACCCCTTGGGGCACACCCCAAGTATCTCACCCTAAGCCTTATAAACCCTTTCAAAACTTCCCACCAAATCAATGTGGGACAAGCCAATTTACAACCTTAAGGAATTTCCACCACAACTCCATTTCCATGGAGCACAGTTATTGGTAGAGTGAACAATCATTTTTATAATGGTAAATCCAGACCTATTAGAAGGAAACACAGTAATGTGAGATCCTTTTTGAGTAATGGCATCATAACTGTGAATTATGTAAGATCTTGTGATAATCTTGCGGATCCGTTAACCAAGGCCTTGGCGAGAGATAGGGTCTGGAATACATCGAAGGGGATGGGTTTGAAGCCTATAAAATCAAAAACCATGTATGAGGATACCCAACCTAGGGACCAGAGATCCTGTAACTAGGTTCAACGGGAAGAACGAATCATATGGTGGTTGTAAAAATGCACTCTTTAATATTTTGTTATCCATCCCTATGATGTAAGTGCATTTGTCCTGTAATGTTGGAGGGTTGAGTTTTTATACTCTTAATGAAATTCTGTAGCTCTTGTTGAGTGGGGTGTGTAAATTACAGGAACATCCTTGACAGATTTCACCTATGTGAGCATGAAAGTGGGGCTGCTTTCTATGAGAACAAGGCTTATTCTCAAATATGCTCATGAAAACTGGGATTAGCACAAGGCCGTAATGTGCTGGCTATCAAAGCTCATGTCAACACCTGGACTATTATGTGTGAGCAGTAATACTTTATTTCCCCTAAGCAGTCATAGTTCAAGTCAGACCACTACTGACTCTGGAGTAGAGGTTGCTGTTTCACTAATGAAGGTTCAATGCAGAGCACACCTTCACGATGCATACTAGTCTATCTTTGTTTGGTAATCTCTCTTATTTTTATTTTTTGATATTAAAATGAGTGGGGGATTGTTGGACCATTTTAATATCTTATATTTATTTATTGGTTTATCTTTTTCATAAATGGGGTTTTATTACTTTGGTAACCTCTTGGTCATAAATAGAGGTTAAATAGAATTCATGAACTTGGTTAATGGTCATTATTTTGGTGTAATCATTTTCTTGTTTAATGGTCATTATTTTTGGTGTAACTGTAAGGTCCTTATAGCCTATATATAGTCTACTCTTTTCTATCTATACAAGAGAGATTACTAGCAAAGGAGGGTGTTTTATTG